TTTCAGCTCACATCCATCTGATGTCAGCAACGATATGCCTCATACCATGTCCTCTTCTGAATCTGGCTTCAATTTCTGGCAGCTCCCTGCCAATATATTGCTGCAACCATTTTTGAAGATCATCGGGAAATTGTACTTGCTGATGATATTAATGATATTAGATTATTTACACATTCTATTGGGACATCTTTCTTTGGAATGAGCATAAATATGAATTTCTCCCAGTTGATTGGCCAGATAGTTGTCTTCCAGATTTCTTTCCTAGGTGAGTGCTTCTGGTACTTCCTCAGCTTGTTCAAACATTTCTTTTGACATTCAATCAATTCATGGCACCTTGCTGTTTGCTGATGCCTTCCGTGTAGCTTGGGCTTTTCCTTCAATACCATTGGACTAGCGGTGCTGAAATATTGACTAGTTCTTTTTGGTACAATGACTGTGTATTCCTTTCATCTTCTTGTGATGCTTCCTACATCATTCAGTGTTTGGGCCATAGAAACCTTCAGTATTTCAGTTCAAGGCTTGATTTTTTTTTTCTTTAGCTCTTTCAGCTTGATATATGCTGAGCATGTTCTTCCTTTTGGGTTTTCAGACTCCATTGTATTTTTTTAAATAGGAAAATGTGAGGCTATTGCTTTTTGATGCTATCCATAAGGTTTTCCATGGCAGATTCCTCAGGAGTGGATAGCCACTCCTCGGTAAATTGTGTTTGGCAAAGTGGAGGGTCAGCAAAAAATAAGACCCTCACCAAAATGAATTGACACCGTGGCTGCAACAATGGGTTCAGGCATAAGAATAATTGTGAGGATGGTGCGGGCCTGGGAAGTGCGTCATCCTGTTGTCCATAGATAGGGCTGCTGGGAGTGGAGCTGGCTTGATGGCACCCAGGAACAGCAGCATTATTTCTTGATATAACTTCCATCTAGGTCTATACCCCAGAGTTTCTATGAGTAATTCTTCCTGGAAGAATTCTGTATGCTTTGATTTTTATCACATGCAAACAGCAGGTTGCGCTTTTCCAAGGGATTCACATTGTATTCCTTTCCAATATTCTGGTTGGTTCAGCCCACTGACCATTCTCACTTCTGTGGCCCTCCTCCTACTTCATTCTAGGGATAATGTCTCATTTTCCCAATTATGCCAAGGAGATAATCAGATGGCTTTGCCTCCTCGGACTGCCACTGACCAGCAAACATTATTGATTTTGCCTCCCAATTTTTTGCATCCAATTATGTCTTTTTAGTCCACTGCCATTACTTTTATTTTAGCTCTCATCTTCTCTTCCTTTTATCACTACATTTCATGCATACGCAGAACTTGAATAATTGTGTATTAATTCCTTGACCATATTTTTCACCATACTCACAGCACCTGGGGGTCAGTGATAAAGTCTGTCTTGTTCCTATTTTAATCCCTAGAGTCTAGCAAAGTACTTAGTCATAGTATGTACCCAATAAATGCCCTATGTGCCCAAATAAAAGACAAGATTGCAACCTTCCATTCAAGACCCCATATTGAACAACGCTCTCTCGTTTTCATTATTTAAAGCGACTGGTAATGGTTGATGAAGATATTAAAAATATTATGAAGATATAATGATATTAAACTGAAACAACATTCATCAGTGTTAGCTTGGGTATTAATAAAGTTTATATGGCATAATGGATAAATGAGGAGTGTATTAGTCTGGGTTGACTAGAGAAACAAATTCAGAGGCATTCATATGTTTGTAAGAAAAATATTTATAAACAAGGGCAGTTGAATATTGAGAAAACATCCCAGCTCAGTCCAGATCAAGTCCATAAGTTTGATATTAGCCCATATGTCTGATGTCAATCTAGAAAGTCCTCTTCAGACTCACGAAACACATGCGATCGTGCCAAATGAAGGAAGATCACAGGCTAGTGGGTGGAAGGTCTTGTGGATCCAGTGGAGGTATAAGCATTTCACTGCTGGCAGGGGTCTCCATGTGGCTTCTGTGGCTTCAGAGCTCTAGCATAGCTCCATGTGTCTTGTCAAAGAATATGCCTCGCAAGGAGTGAGCATGTATCCTTCCTCAAGTGAGCTGTTTATCTCCCTAGCTCCTCCAAATGAGGTCATCAGGCTAAGCTCTACCCCTTCACTCTTAAGTCTAAAATTGACAACTGATTATGTAAACTATCACAAAAAGCTAAGAAATTAATATGATTCAGTAACATTTCATGGAATTTTGATATAATTCAAATTGTAGATGTCATTGTATATATGTTTCAAAAAATACTTTTAAAATAATGATATAAGTATTTTAAAAATTCAGCTATCAGACAAGTTTTAGTTTCAGTGGTCATTTCTTTTTTGTGGATGGTTTCATTTGGCTTGGGATAAGATTTGCCAAGATCAAATCAAAAGAAGAATCAGAAAATACTGCATCTTAGACAATGTAAGAGGAAAGGCAGGTGCAGTGCTGTGGGTAATTGCGTTGCTAGAATTAAATGGTAACTGTGGTGATGACAAAGATGCATGAGAGGACTTTGAATGCAGTAGGTTCATAAACTAGAGAGTGACAAAAGGTATTTCTAGTTAACATAATTCTATCTAATGCATGATTTTCAGTGTGCACGTGTAAGTTAAGCTATATAGAAGACTAGCAGACAGTTGATAAGTCCTTGTCAATCACTAAAGATTATATATCCCAACTTCTCAGAACACTATGAATCACCGCAATATGACATGTATGTATACTTCAGCTCATGTGTACTCAATAGTTGGTAGGAATCCCCCCCAATTTTCTGTATCTATATATTTAACTTTCATGAACCATTTCAAAGAAAATTGCAGCTGGTATAACACATCACTCCTTAACATTTAGCATGCATCTCCAAAGGCATTTTCCTCCATAACTATTAATGCTACTCTCCCTCTTAAAAAATTAACACAGACTTCTTTTTTAAAACCATTTTATTGGAGGCTCTTACAGCTCTATAACATTCCATACATCAATTGTACCAAGCATAGTAGTACCTACCTATGTTCCCATCATCATTTCCAAAATATTTTCGACTTGAGCCCTTGGTATAAGCTCCTCTTTTTTCCCCTCCCTTTCTCACTCTCCCCACCTCGTGAATTCTTTGATCAATTATATATTATTATTATCATTTTGTGTTTTACACTGTCTGTTGACTCCCTTTACCCACATTTCTGTTATTCATCCCCTTGGGTGGGTGAGTGGGTGGGGGGTTATGTATCCAACCTTGTAATGGATTTCCCCTTTCTTCCCCTTCTCCCTCCCATAACACAGATACCTTAATGAGATATCTTACACAGTTCACATTTGAATTTCCATAGTTGTCTAACTAGATCTTTTTTAAAACCTGTTTGAAAACAAAATAAAACCAAAAAAAACCCTAAAACTAACAATAAATGAATAAACAAGCAAAGTCAGGATCCATTTAAGGAACACACGCAATATTTGGTCATTATGTCTCATAAATCCCCTCTCCCACATTCATGTCTTATGAGGGTTGAGTTTTTTAAAAGGATGTATCCATTTTTATGGAAACAGTCCACATTCTGGATTACCTGGTGATTTTTTTTTTCATAGCATCAATTAGCACACTCTTTGCTCCCAGGTAGTTTAACTGAAAGTTGATACAAAAGCTTAAATATAACCAAGTTAAATATGTCATAGAATGTTCCATGTATTGAATATTAATTACATCATGGTAGGAGCACAGAATAGTTGGCTTTTGTAATATAATTTGATCAGCTGGGTAATGTAGAAACACAGGTTTGGATTATGGGGCATAGAATTGCTCCTTATTAACTTTTTGCTTACTAGTTTAAGTATCTATTGAAAAATCTACCTATATCAATTATTTCCTCCAACAAACTTAATCCCATTGAGTCTATGCTGACTCATAGTGACCCTGCAGGAGAGGGTAGAACTGCTCCTGTGAGTTTCTGAGACTATATCTCTTTAGGGAGTAAAAGCCCAATCAATCCAGAACAAAAAATCATATCCATGTGAAGGAGGGGGAGAGCAGAGTAGGGACCCAAAGCTCATCTGCAGACAATTGGACATTTCCTCACAGAAGGGTCACAAGGAAGAGATGAGCCAATCAGGATGCAGTATAGCACTGATGAAACATATAACTTTCTTCTAGTTCTTTAATGCTTCCTTGCCCCACTATCATGACCCCAATTCTATCTCACAAATCTGCCAGGACAAGAGCATGTGCACTGGTTCAGATAAGAGCTGGCAACACAGGGAATCCCAGACAGATAAACCCCTCAGGACTAATAATGAGAGTAGCAATTCCAGGAGGGTAGAGAGAAGGTGTGGGGGAGAAAGGGGAAATCGATCACAATGATTGACATATAACAACAACCACCCTATCCACGGGGAGATGAACAACAGAAGAGTGGGTAAAGGGAGACAGTGGTTGGTGTAATACGTGAAAAAAATGACACGGTAATTTATAAATTATCCAGGGTTCATAAGGAAGGGAGAGTGGGCAAAGGAGGGGGGAAATAAGGAGCTGATACCAAGGGTTCAAGTAGAAATAAAATGTTTTGAGAATGATGGCATAAATGTGCTTGACATAATGTATGTATGGATTGTTGTAAGAGCTTTAAGAGCCCCCAATAAAATGATTTTTAAGGTGAAAAATAAAATTTTAAAAAAGAAAGAAATTTGGACATTGAAAAAGGAAGACTAAAAACTATAAAGAAAATCCACTTTCTCCCACGGAGTAACCGGTGATTTCCACCTGCTGTCCTTCTGTACTGCAGCCCAATGCATCACCAGAGTTCCTTAATTACTCCTTCAGATGTTAGGAGATAGGGCTCACATTTCCATTGATCATTTTCGATCCTTATATTCCAATTTTCTCTGAGAAGCATTTATAATCCTGAATAATCTCATTGAAATAATTCTAAAAACTTTTTGTAGGTCCAAAATACTACATGTCATAGTATATTGTAATGGGAGAATGCTAACCTTTGATTCTCTTTTGTGTTTTCAGCAAAATGGAAACTCACCTTTTTATAAGCCGATTGTTGAATCCTTTGAGCAAGCACCTCTTCACGTCATGGTTTTTACTTACATGGGTTATGGAATTGGAACCCTGTTTGGCCATTTCAGAGACTTTTTGAGAAACTGGGGAATAGAAAAATGCAACGCAGCTGTAGAGCGAGAAGAACAAAAAGTACGTATATGTAATTCCCTGGAGCTACATCAACGTTTATTGTTGTACGATGTCTTCTCAGAAATGGAGATGTATGTGCAAACCTCGAAAGAGCGAGTCACTTAGAAACTTTTCAGGGTACACCTCATTTTTCTCTTCTCCTTAATCCCCATCCTCTGTCTATTCATGGACTTAGTTTTTATGAACAGTTCTTGAACAACTACTATTTTCTATCTGTGAAACTAAGGGTTTGACATTGTGGGAGAAAGAAGAGGCTTTTAACTCCCATAAAGAGTCGCAGTTTTGGAAACTCACAGGGGCCATTCTACCCTGTCATGTGGAGTTGCTATGAGTCAAAATTAACTCAATTGCAGTGGATTTTACTGTAGTCAGATATTAACATATCTCATTTTTACAATACACTGTATGGTAGATATTGAAATACCATTTTAAAGATGAAGATATTGAAATATAAGCGTGAGGAGATTCAGAGGTGGAAGGACACTGTCTTCTGGGTTCGTTTTTTTTAAATCATTTTATTGGGGCTCATACAACTCTTATCACAATCCATGCATACATCAATTGTGTAAAGCGCACTTATACATTCATTGTCCTCATCATTCTCAAAATTCGCTTACCACTTGGGTTCCTAGAATCAGCTCCTCATTTTCCTTTTTCCCCTCTCCCTCCCTCCCTGCTCCCCCCTTCCTCATGAACCCTTAATAATTTATAAATTATTATTTAATCTTATCTTACACTGCCCGGCGTTTCCCTTCACCCACTTTTCTGTTGCCCATACCCCAGGGAGGAGGTTATATGTAGATCCTTGTGATCAGTTCCCCCTTTCTATCCCCCCATCCTTCTCTCCCAGTATCAGCACTCTCACCGTTGGTCCTGAGGGGTTCATCTGTCCTGATTCCCTGTGTTTCCAGTTCCTATCTGTACCACTGTGCATCTGGTATAACCAGGTTTGCAAGGTAGAATTGGGATCATGATAGTTGGGGGAAGGAAGCATTTAAGAAGTAGAGGAAGGTTTTGAGTTTCATTATTGCTACACTGAACCCTGAGTGACTCATCTCCTCCCTACTACCCCTCTGCAAGGGATGTCCAGTTGTCTACAGATGGGCATTGGGTCCCTATCACGTGCTCCCCTCATTCACGATGATATGACGCCCCCCCCCTTTGGTGCTTGAAACCTGGTCCCTTCGACCCTTCATGATCACACATGTTGGTGCGCTGCTTCCATGTGGGCTTTGTTGCTTCTGGACTAGATGGTCGCTTGTTTACTTTCAAGCTTTTAAGACTCCAGACACTATTTCTCTCAATAACCGGGCACCATCAGCCTTCTTCACCACACTTACTTATGCACACATTTGTCTTCAGCGTTTGTGTGGGGAAGGTGATCACACAATGATGGTTTTTGTTCTTTAGTGTCTGCTACCTGATCCCTTCAACACCTCGTGCTCACTCAGGCTTGTGTGCTTTTTCTCTGTGGGCTTTGTTGCTTCCAAGCTAGTTAGCTGCTTGTTTGCCTTCAAGCCTTTAAGACCCCAGACGCTATATCTTTTGATAGCCGGGCACCATCAGCTTTCTTCACTACGTTTGCTTATGCACACGTCTGTCTTCAGCGATCATGTCGGAAAGGTGGGTATCATGAAATGACCATTTAGCTGAGCAAGGTACTCTTGTATTAAGAGAATGCATGCAAGGAGGCCCAATGTCCACCTGACACCCTACTACTAAACCTATAAATACATGCACCTAGGTCTATTTCCCCCATAATCATAAATATATTTACATATGTACCTGTCTACATTTAAGCTTCTATGTATGCCCTTTGCCTCCTAATCATTTCTTCTATTTCCTCATACTTTCCTCCTGTCCCACTACCATATTCAGCCTTCATTCTGGTTTCAGTAATTCCTCTCAGTTACCTTGCCCTTGGTCACTCCCCCTACCAGTCCTCCCATCCCCTCCCTGCCACTGGTTTTGAACCACTCGTTGTTCCTTTGTCCCTGGGTTGGCCAACACCTCCTCCCTTCCCCTACCTCCCACACTCTCAGGTCCCTCAGGACCATTGGTCCCGTGATTTTCTTCTCATCTTGTTTGTCCAGCCTATCTTATCTGGCTGGACCTGCAGATATAGTAGTATGAGCATAAAATTTCAGGTAGTTTTGACAGCACCTAACAAAGTGGCACTTAAGAACATAGCAATGACAGCAGCAACACCGACAAGCTAACAAACAAACAAGCCAATGACATACAAAATTTAAAAGAAGAGAGAAAAAGAAACAAAACAAAACAAAAAAAACGGGGGGGAAAACCTGTTGATAGTTCAAGGTCTGTTGACCTTTAGGAGTGTTTTCTGGGGTGCCCCATCCTGGCCCCAAAGTCCATCCTTTATACTCCCTCGGGACCTCCTTGTTCTGCCCCCTCCACTGCTCCATTGCATGCCCCCAGTGTTTTGCCGCAGTGTGGTGGGGTCAGCTCAGTCACACATCCCACACTGTGTCTCCGGTGCTGTCCCGTGTAGGGCCATGAGTCAGTGCAGGATGTCGCATCTCGCATTGGGGCCGGCTATATGGTCCTCTCTGTACATTGGGCCCTCAGAGCCGGGCTCTCGTCCTCTGAGCTTGGTGGGCCCAGGTGTATATCCATTCTGTTCTTCCTCCTTCCTTTGCTTCAGCTTCCTTCTGGGTGTAGTAGGTCAGTTCCTTTCCCACACCAGACGATCTATTTTCATTTTCTGTGGCACTCCCTTCCATGGTGGGAGTCGGACTGATTCTGGTTAGGGCCGGCGTATGGTCCAGTCATTTTGTGGATTCCTCCGCGCATTACATTGCCCTCCTGGTTTGGCATGTCATGGTGGGTTCTGTATGCACTTTCCAGTTCTATGGGGACACAACCAATACTCTCCCCCTGGGTGGATTAGTTCCCTGTTCCCACCATGCCATCAGTTCAGTTTCTCCCCACCCAAATTCTACCTCCACATTCCCCCCTTCCCCTTCTTTATGTTGGACTCTCATGTACCTCCCTAGGTGTGGCCTGCCCTCCCTCCAACTATCTATGCTTCCACCTGTTTATTGCGAGATAGGTATTTATTCTCCTATTCCTGGCATGCTGGTTGTACTTACCTCAGGGGACTCATGTTATACCTGTCCTTTTGAGTTTGGCTTACCTTGCTTAACATAGTTCCTTCTAGCTCTTCCCACGAAATGACATGTTTCATGTGGTTGTCCGTGCTTTTCAGTGCTGCATAGTACTCCATTGTGTGTATGTGCCAGAGTTTACTAATCCACATATCTATCTATGGAAACTTAGGATGTTTCCAAGTCTTTGCAATTGTGAATTGTGCCGCGATAAACATTGGAGCGCAAATGACTAGTCGTGTTTTATTTGTTGCTTCCATTCGGTATATGCCCAGTAGAGGGTTGACTGAGTCATAAGGTAGATCAATTTCCATTTTCTTTAAGTATCTCCAGATTGCTTTCCACAGTGGCTGTACAAATCTACACGACCACCAGCAGTGGGGGAGGGTTCCTACTTCACCACAGCCCCTCCAACACTTGTTGCTCTCTTATTTGCTGATTTGGGCTAGTCTCAGGGGTGTTAGGTGGTATCTCATGGTTGTTTTGATTTGCATTGCTCTTATGGATAATGACCGGGACCACTTTCTCATATGCTTACTGGCCATATAGGTCTCCTCCCTAGTGAAAGATCTTTGCAGTTCTTTTGCCCACTTCCTTAGAGGGTTAACTGTTTTCCTCTTTTTGCAGGTCATGATAGTGTTGTAGATTTTAGTAATGAGACCTTTGTCCGATTTGTCATTACTAAAAATCCTCTCCAAGTCTGTGGGTTGTCTTGTCACCCTCTTGGTGAAGTCTTTCGAAGTGCACAGGTGCTTTATTCTTAGTAAATTCTATTTGTCGGTTTCCTGTTCACCTTCATGTGTACCCTTCCTTATTGCAGTGAGCCTATGAGTTCCCTGGGCCAGTGCTCTGAGGTTCGTCCCAGTTCCATCCTTGATGGTCCTTATGGTTTGGGGTTTAACTTCTAAGTCTGTGATCCACCTTGAGTTTATTCTTGTGCATGGGATGAGGTAAACGTCTTGTTTCATCTTTCTACATGTGGATATCCATTGTTTCCAGTACCACTTGATAAAAAGGGCATTTGCTTCCCACTTGGTGGTTTTGGGACCTTTGTCAAAGATCAGTTGTCTATATGTGGATGGTTTTATTCTTGGGCTTTCTATTCTTTTCCACTGGTCTGAGTGTCTGTCGTTGTGCCAGTACCACGCTGTTTTGATCACTTTAGCTGTGTAATAGGCATTAAAATCGGGTAAGGCGAGGCCTCCTACCGTGTCCTTCTTCTTGAGGAGTTCTCTGCTAATTCTGGGTTTCTTCCCTATCCATATGAAATTGTTGGTCAGTTTTTCCAATTCTTTGAAGAAGGTTGATGGTATTTGAATTGGTAAAGCATTGAACTTGTAAAGTGCTTTAGGTAGGATTGTCATCTTTACTATGTTAAGCCTTCCAATCCACGAGCAGGGGATGTTCTTTCATTTGTGCAGGTCGCTTTTGGTTTCCTGTAATAGGGTCTTATAGTTTTCGTTGTATAGGTCTTTAGTATTATTTGTTAAATATATTCCTAGGTATTTCAGTTTATTCTTAACTACTGTGAAGAGTACTTCCTTCTTAATCCCTCCTGTCCGATGTGTATAGAAAACCTACCAACTTCTGTTTATTTATTTGCATCCTGCCACTCTTCCCTATTCCTCTATCACTGTAAGTACTCCAGCTGTGGAGTTTTTGGGGTTTTCAATGTGCAGGATCATGTAGTCTGCAAATAGCGATAATTTCACCTCATCCTCTCCCATATGGATCCCTTTGATGTCCTTCCGCTGTCTTATGTTGTTAGCCAGAATCGCCAGAACGATATTGAATAGAAGTGGGGACAGGGGACATCCTTGTTCTGCACCCTTTTTCAGTGGGATTGTTTTTGTCTTTTCTCCATTGACTGCT